TTCCTCTGCTGGTTTCTCTATCCACATTTAGGACTTCAAAGCTATTACCAAGAGAAAATGCCTGAAGGATTCCTTGTAAGGAATAAAGTGTTTGGAAAATATGCTTTTCAGGAAACAAACACATCAAAGATGTATATGGTAAAGAACATCCGCTTCAAAGCTTCAAGGTTGCCACGAAGGACAAAACAAAGGAATTTCTTACCTTGCGGGTTAATCTTCTCTTGATTTCTCGTTTTTCTTCCTGTTCCTCTTGCTCATTCCGTGCTAGAAAAGATTGACAAAATTCTAAATATGCATGCATTTTTTAAAAAATGGCAAAGGGTGATTAGTGCTCCTTGCTCATTTGGATATAAATTTCTGTACGTCTTAAGAATACTTAAGTTCTTTAGTCTCTAATTGGGAGCCACCCAGAATTGGTTATAAGATGGGTAGCTATATAAATGATTTCAATAAATAAATAAGTAGTTATATGTTAGCATGCATATGACGGCAATTGTGTGCAATGCCAAGATATCATTAATCTCTGCACTTTTTATCAAGATTTATTAAAAACAGATAAAAGTATAGAATAATTGTGATGGGGCAAACAATAGGGAAGAGTTTCTGGAGTGCTTCTAGAATTTTTAGACTCTAAAAAATATTGCAGGCACTATACAAAAAGATAACACAGCTTCCATGCATATCTGATGAATTTCAACTATATAAGAAATGTGTTTCAACATACTGCTTTGTTTACAATATTTATTCAACCCATCGTGACAACATTTTATTATTTGCAATTACACATGTATCACTTAGGTGTCTACTGTTTGGTTATACATTGTTGTAGTCAAATAACCACTGAAAGATTGCAGCAGGCATGTTTTATTATTGAAAGAACCACAGAATGGATAGTGATCAAGCCTCGAAAAGGAGCTGCAAAAAAACACGAACTAATCCCCAAAAGTGCTTTTCCAAAAGGCAACTGGACTTTACTGGGGGGGGGGGGGGGGGGGGGGGGGGGGAGGTTGGGGTTTCCCCTTGAAAACATTTGGCTTCTCATCCAAGAAGCTTCTTCAGTTTTGAACTGAAAAAAAACCCAAAACCTGAAGAAGCTTCTTGGATGAGAAGCAAAACATTTTCAAGGGAAAAACAAAACAAAACAAGAAAGTCTAGTGGCCTTTTGAAAAAAGCACCTTTGGGACAGCTATGACTTGGATGATTGAGAATCTCCATAGACCAGAGTTCCCCAATGTTTCTGGCTTTGCAGACCAGGGGGGTGGGGGTGGGGGAGGATGATTTGCACAAGTGGCCAGCAAGCACAAATGGAGCGTGTGTGCACACGCTCACCCACTGCTCACACAAATGGGGATGCGTGTGCATGCACTCATCTGCCATTTCTACGGTCCAGTTTCAAGCCCCTCACAGCCCACTAGTGGGCTGTGGCCCATAGGTTGGGGACCCCTGCCATAGACCACCGTGAACTAGACTCTAGTTCTAGAGACTAGAACTAGAGCCATGTATGTGAGAAGGGTGGCTATATAAATTGAAATAATAATAATAATAACAACAATAATAATAATAGAAATAATAAGAATTTTAACTAGCTGGGACATGTAAAGATGCATCTTTGATCTCACTGTTTGTAATCTCTATTACAAATATTTTTTTGTAGGTTTGAAATTTGTCTCAAAATGACTATTTATTATTTTATTTAGTTTGCCTAATTCCAATTGACTCTGTTCACAAAGAGTGACATAAAAAACCAGTACAATCCCAAAACAAGATGGCTCTGGGCACAATATACATTGAGAAAGCGAAAATAATAGATACACCCAGCAAGGGACCACACCAATCAAGATCTGGGAGAACAGCCAGATTTTCAAGGTTTTTTGGAATGCCAACAAGGTTGGAGCCACATGGTTTTTAGAGGTGATCTCATTCCACAGGCAGGCTCTGTGACAGAGAAGTCACGCTTCCCAGATCCTGATAGATGACATTGTTTAATTGAAGGGACCTGAAGCACCCCAACTCTGTCGGCACATTCTGGCCAGGCAGAAACCATGGGAGAGCAGTAGTCAGTCAAATAACTGACCTTACACATATAGGGCTTTGGAGGTAAATGATAAGTACCTTGAATTGCACCCAGAAGTGGCAGTCAGTACAGCTTGCAGAGCAGAGGTGTCACACAGACATACTGAGGCATGCCCATCACTGCTCATGCCTCTGTGTTCTGGACCAGCTGAAGATTTTGAGTGATTTTCAAAGTCAGCCCCATAGAGAACACATTGGGCTAGCGAAGACAAAGGCATGTGTGTCTATCTGAAGGGCCTCCAGCTTGTGATTGTCAAAAGAGCATTTATAAGACTGTGAAAGCAGATATATAGTTGGCTTGCTTCTCAAAGCATGCATGCTGAGACACATTCTTACTAGCATTCAGTTATTAATTGCATCAAAATACCAGTCATTTCGCTGGAATTTATGTTCACGTTGCTTTGCTTAAGATTCAGGTCCTACAGCAAGAGGAGTGTAATTAAACTATTTTCTCTCTTTAATTATTTATGGCTAAGTGTCTTAAACTATTTTCACATCAAATATATTTGTGCCAGTATGGCTTTTTGCTGAGGATGAAATATCATTAATTCAGGTTGTATAACCAAAACTCTAGTATAAGGGTTTTTTTCTGTTTAAAAAAAATGTGGCATGAAAATGTACTTATATATTTCTGTAAGAATGACTTGTGTACTACTCTTAGATATTTGGCCACGTCTTTATCTAGGATTAGCTCCATTGCATTTTACTGGATCATTTTTCAACAGGCATAGATTAGATTAGATTTTTGGTTGAAATCCATACACAGTATGTTAGATGTAAACACACTGAGGTCAGTGGAAAATATTTCTGAATAAACCTGTATAGGACATTTTGGTAATAAGAGAAAATGGTGATCCTTTAGTTGAATATCCCGGGCTGACCTCAGTATGTTCTCATTTCAACTTTAGTCTAAACTACCAAAACATAAATATGTCTTCTTTATAAGCAATCTCTTTTGGGTAATAATAACAGTGCAAGAGCATAATGTATGTCTGTCTCAGACAGGTAAGAATGGAAAAATGGAAACTCCATCCTGGATGGATCTCCTAGAGCAGTGCTTCTCAACCTTTTCTTCACCATGACCCCCTTTAAATACTTTTGTGGCCACAGACCATGGCCACGGACCCCCCAAGACTTAACTCAACATTTAAATCATAACATTTCTTCAAGCCTTCATGGACACCCTGTGAAGACATCGCAGCCCCCCAGGGCTCTGCAGACCACAGGTTGAGAACTACCACCCTAGAGCCATGTTTTTCAACTTGGAAACTTTAAGATGTGTGGACTCCCATTTTCAGAATTCCCCAGACAGCATTCTGGGAGTTGAAGTCCACACATTTTAAAAGATGGCAAGGTTGAGAAATACTGTTCTACCCTGGGGCATACTTACACTGTATGATTTTTCCTTGATTTAGGTTTGAAGCTACTTACGTTTGAGAATATTCCTCTGCTCTAATTCTTCAGCAGTCGGTCTCTGGCTCAGCCGCCTGTAGAAAAATTTCAATTTCAATTTTTTCACCATATCAGGACCTTCTCCAGCCTTCAATATTTGCCAGAGTCACTCTTCAACAGATAATGCAAGAGCTCAGGAAATGACATTGTTCCTATGTAGATACGAATATTACTGAGTAAAACATAACACTTGAATTTTCCTTTATTGCAAACCAAGGGGAAACCAAACAGATTGTGTCATATTAGGCATTACCCCTTCAGGCTAACCAGTGGAAAGTTAGATGAGGAAGATTTCTTTTACTTAATTTCCTTCCTTCTATACTAGCTTCCTGACTGCCATGAGTGTGACATCAGTTCTGCGTTTTTGTTGTTGTTGTGTGACCCTCCAAACTACGGAGAGATCAAAGCAATCCGGGGAAATTTCCAGGCATGGTAACTATGCTAAGATTAGGATTTTTTCTTTGTTCCTCAGATCAGGCTTTCCATCTAAAAACCTGTCTTCAGATTCTGGAATAAAACCTGGAGGGAGGATAGAAGGTGAAATGAGATGATCTCCAGCCAGCATGAAGGTCATCAGATTATGGGTGGCTGCCTTAAAGTAAGCGTAGAAAGCTGCCTGCTGTGAGCAGTTGTGGTCAACTTGTGCAAGGATTTCAACCTGCCAATTCAACATGGACTTTTCAATCTGTTAAACCAAAATCAAAATTGAAAAAATTGAACAAGTATTCTCAATAGCTGGGAATATATTGTGAATAGAATCTCATCTGATTGTTTTTGTTTCCTAGCTCAGAAATATGAGGAACCTGTGTGGTATAGTGATTAAGTTGCTGACTAGGAATTGGGAAATCCAAGTTCAAGTCTACCCTTAGCTATGGAAATTCTCAATTTTCTCAATTCTTTCTCAATCCAACCTCTCTCACAGGACTGTTTCCTATTGGAGGAAAAAGTGCTCAGTGTGCCATCTTGAGCTTCTGGTGCAAAGGGAGTGGGGGGGAAAAATCTAACAAATAAACACAACAAATCACCAAACAGCCTCCTGACATTGGAAACAGTGAGCAGTTTATAGTAGACAGTAGTTGAAAAAGATCCCAAGAGGTATTACTGGACTATGAGCACAGGAGAACCAAGACTAGTAACCAATTTCTCTGCATCATTTTTTCCTCTCTCCAGGTTGTAACCAAACTTTTAATCAGGTTACTGACTGAATTTATTTTCTGAATCTGCCCAATACGGGCAGTCATCAATTTACAACCATTCGTTTAGTGATCATTCAATGTTTCAATGGCACTGAAAAAAGGGACCTACAACCAGTCTTCACATTTACAACTGTTGCAGCATCTCCTCGGTCACATGATTTGAGTGCCTGGCAACTGGCATGCGTTTAGAACAGATGCAAGTTTCCTGAGGTCACGTGATTGCTATTTCTGACCTTCCCAGCTGGTTTCTGGCAAGCAAAGTCAATGGGGAAAGTTGGATTTGCTTAACAACCACATGATTCCCTTAACAACAGTGATTTGCCATGGCAAACCATGGCAAAAAAGATCATAAAACCAGGAGTGACACTCGTCTAACAACTGCCTTGCTTAGCAATGGAAATTCTGATCTCAACTGTGAAAACTGTCACAGGTAAATAAAACAAAACACAAAAATAAAACAATTAGTTAACAATGACAACAAAAGCCAAGACTAAAACAAACACAGTTCACCTATTGTGCAAATGCAGGTACAAATTTCTTCAACTATATAGTGTGAACACTACTGCAGTGCAGTGGTGGGTTGCTACCGGTCTGCCCCAATTTGGCCAAACGGGTAGCAGCAGCGGTGGGACACTTTGCCCACCCGCCTGGATGTCATCAAATGTGATCTGTGCATGTGCAGACGGGGTGCGTGCGCGAGTGAAGCGGTAAGAAAGGTAAGTGAAACCCACCCCTGCTGCAGTGTCCTTTTTATACATCTATTTCCTTTTCCTTAAACTAGAAATCAGCACTCTACAATACTCCAACAAGATCCACATTTAACAACTATTAGATAATTACAGTGTTTTAATTCAGGCATCACTCATTTTAATAATCAGAATAAATTGATCCCAGGCCTGGCAATTTGTCAGAGAGTGCAATGTTATCATCCAATATGCTTCCTGTTTGTGATAACAATTCCAAGATCAGTTTTTTACTGATCTAATTTTCATCTACCACCATTTCTACTGGGTGGCTCAGTGGCTCAGTGGTTAAGATGCTGAGCTTGTTGGCTGGAAAGCCAGTAGCCCAGGTTTGAGACCTGAGCACCAAGACAGAGGATGAGCTCCTGTCCTTACCCTAGCTCCTGCCAACCTAGCAATTTGAAAGCATGCAAATGCAAGTAGATAAATAGATACCACTTTGATGGGAAGGTAACAGCATTCCGTGACGTCATGCTGGCCCCATGACAGCGGAAATGTCTTTGGACAGTGCTGGCTTAATGGCCTTGAAACGGAAATGAGCACCACTCCCTATAATCAGCAACGACTAGTGGACTAAAATCTGCAGGGATTCCTTTAGCCTTTTTTAAAACCTCTCTACTAATGCTTTCTTCTGAGTTTAAAGCAATAGAAAACATTCTTCAAAAACATCTAGATCAGTTTTCTTATGAAAATGGAGAATCCTAGTTGAAAGCAGATGGGTATGATTATTGTCCAAGGAGTCATAGGTTCAAAATGTTATTGTTCCTACTGGAATGAATATAGTTAATTTAATCAGCTGGCTGTTTAAAGACTTCAGGGACTTTCTTCAGAATGTTGCATTTCTAATGCAAAATTATTAAATTTTCAATAACACTTAGCATTTCAACCTTCTCAAAAGGCTATAATTTTAAAGTTGACTCTGCTAAGAGCTCTAGTGAGCATTTATTTTCTGATATTCTTACCGAGCCCAGATAGCTTACTATGCCAACTCTAATTCTCTATGAAAAAAGCTTTGAATGAATGATTGCAATATATTAAAGAAGAGTTTGAGATTCTTTTGAAGTAAGAAGTATAAACTTTGGAGAATGAGAATGCAAAAAGAAGGAGGAGGTAGATATCAAAAAACAAAAATCCTCCAACTTTGGACACTAGAATTTCAATTACTACAATCCCAACCACTGACAACTGGAGGGCATCTTGTTCCCATCAATGCCTTACACCAGCTGAGGTTCTTGTAGTAGGATTGTTATGTATGCTTTAAATGTCTGAGCACATTCTGGTTGTTATTATTTTAAATCCCGCAGCCAAAGGCAAAATAAGGAAGTGATATGACAACAGAAAGGCTGAAAGTGAAACTGGAAATACAATACAAACTGTTTCCTTCTCAGTTTTAAAGGTTAACTGTCAAAGAGAACGACAAAATCTCTTTGCATGCTTTATTTGACACAATCCTAAGAATTAATTGAAATAATTAAAGAGGGTCAATTAGTTTTTTCTTTAGCTGAATTTTACCTATGAGGGATGTGAGAGAAATTTGATCAGTCCTCATTTTAATACAAAATTTTTGATTCGGTAAAGGAACTGAAGCTCAAATAACCTTTACATTCACTCATGATTGATTTTTGTTTCAATGACCTCATATTAATAACGTATAAAAATCCATTAGTGAAAAACTGTTTGCAAAATATATGTATTAGGGAAATGAAAAATATACACATTTTCTTATATGAACTTTATTTGTGTCAGCTTTAATACTAATGGACTCGTCACACCAAAACATGAGGCTAAAAAAAAGTTTCCTCTGGGCACCTTACTAATTTATTATTAGGGAAGCCAAAACAAAAATAGGAGCTTCTCTAAAACAGTTGACAGTTATAACTAGATAAATACCCATATACAAGCAGTCTTTGACTTATGATTGTGATGGAGCCTGCCCATTATGGTAGTAAGTTGGGATGGTCGTAAAAATGGCTCATCAAATGACCAACTCTGTTATATAACTATTTTGTGGTTGTTGTTAAATGAATCACTAAGATCATTAAATGAACCCATGATATTTGAATGAATACGGTCGTCATTTAATGAACTCATTGTCTGCTATGGAGCTTTTTTCCTTAAACCCTGAGATAAATATCCATTTTTGTCAAAAATGTCATAAATCTCAGTTACATGATGAAGGATGCTGGAATTGTCCATAAATGCAGCGTTGTTTATGTGTGGGGGAGGGGATTTGTCAGATATCGGATCATAAATATTTTTTGAGGGGATACAAATAGCCACTAAACGACCAGTCATAACTCGAGAACTATCTGTAGAGCAAGTTAAGGCTTTTAACGATCTGGGAGGGTGTGTGTATGTGTCATTTTTCAATCTTCTGCATTGTGGAGGAAACAAATAAAGGCTACTTCTGGTAATATAGGTAATGTAATTCTGCATTTGGCAGCAGTGAGACAATTTTGTGCCTGCTGCTAAAACATCCTCAAAGTCAAGGTGAGAAATCTCCTCCACTGTGACTTACAGATTTGCAATATAAAAATCCAAGTCTTCTGAAAGTCACACAAATTAAATTTCTGAGAGAGATGCTCTGAGTCACTGAATGCACTTCAAACTTCCTTCTAAATTTGGAAGTCAGGCTGTCCCCCTTTGAGAGCCAAATGAGATTTAACTGCCTTAAATCCTGGCCAAAACTGATTACTAAAGACAACTCTTTAACTTCTGCTAGAGGGCTTCTCATCATCCTGGAAGAAAAATGAAATAGAACTGAAGCACATACAGCAAACTACAGTTTATCTGCCTAATGTTTTATCTCTTTGAGGAGCAGGAGAGCCAGCACTGAAGATGACCTAAAAACAAAATGTTTTTGATACTTATCTCCCCCAAAAAATCAGAGGTCAGCCTCCCTCTCCAGTGGTGATGGTGGTTTGTCTGGCTAACTATTCACCCAGCCAATAATCAGATAGCATCTCATGCCTATCACACTAGGGAGTCCTTTTTTGATCATGTTTAAGCTCTGTCATCTATGAAAATAGAAGCAAGATACAGCAATCTCCCAATGCAAGATCATTTCTGTCTTGCCTATTGGAGGAATCTGAAGCAATCATGTATGCATTATTGTCTTGTCCTATTACCATACTCAGCTTAGCAAACTGACCTAACAAATCCCTTGTTTCTAAACCTCTCTCTAGGTTCAGTTGGGAGAACCTTTGCTTTTTGCTTCCTGGCATCTGGAAAGGTGCAAAGTTTAATTCTGTGGTCAGTGCAGTCTGGAAGTACAGGGTTCAGGGCCGGATTTAGATGAAAAGAGGCCCTAGGCTATTCCACTTATGAGGCCCTTTCACCTATAGTGAAAGTGTAATTTTAATTTTGCTAACAATTTGAATGTAGGCCCCTCTTGATCTTGAGGCCCTAGGCTGAAGCCTAGTTAGCCTATAGGAAAATCCGGCCCTGACAGGGTTGCTTGTCAACTATACAAGTAATCCTCAATTTATGACTGTAATGGGAGCCCATTACATTTGTTAACTGAGTTTTGCCCCATTTTATAAACTTTCTTGTGGTAGTTGTTAAGTGAATCACTGCAGGGGTTAAGTTAGTAACACGCTTGTTCAGTCAGTCTGGCTTTCTCATTGACTTTGCTTGTCAGAAGGTCGCAAAAGGTGATCACATGACCCCAGGACACTGCAGCGGTCATAGATACGTGCCATTTGCCAAGCACCTGAATTTTGATCATGTGACTATGGGGATGCTGCAACTGTCATAAGTGTGAAAAATGCTCATAAGTCACTTTTTTCAGTGCTGTTGCAATTATGGTCACTAAATGACCTGTTGTAACTTGAGGGCTATCTGTATTTGTAACATGCTTTATTTCACGCTTGTTGGTGCTGAGAAGGAAGACAATTCTTCCTACCTTGTCAGTTTGGTGCCAATCTGCTGCCTGAGCTCCAGCCGCTCCTCATCTGTCTGCACGGGGAGGATATTCTTCTCTTCCAGCTCACGCTTGGATGGCCTGTTGCTCAACTTGATAGCTAAAGAATCTTTCCTGCAAACTTTCATTGCTAGGGAGCCTTGGAAAGAAAGAATCACATTCAGTTTAACTGCTGCAGTGCAGGCACAGGAGCTTACTTTTCCATGTCTTTTGTTAAAAAATAAATAAATAAAATAAAATTTGTTTTTAAGACCTCTACCCTTGCGGAAATGTTGAATATTGAACGAGAGAGAGCCCGTTTCAAAAGCATTTCCTCTCTCTTAGTGTGCTCTCTTGTGAAGGTGAATGTTTCAGTGCTGACTATAATGTTATCTCAACCCTCCATGAATGCAAAGTGGATTATTTTGCATGTGAGACAAATGCGCATATGGAAGTGATTTCAAGGTTCCAATCTCAGCTAGTTCAGGCCCAAGACTTTTTACTCTTGCCATCTCCAGAGTAGAAAAGAGCAGCAGATCTGATAGGCCACTGTAAGAAAAACAACCATAGTTGGGATGAAAAATTGTGGGAAAGGAAAATGGGGTTAATGCTCTCCTCCCTGCCTCAGGATCCTAAGTTCAAGAAAACTAATATTCCCTTGAAATAATGCCTGTAATGGTAGAAAAGCACAATATGTAATAATATAACAACTTTTTAGCCTTTTGAGTTTTTAACTGAATTCCACTTTTACCTTGTATGTTTTAATTTTGATCTATACTCCGTTTTCAACCTCTCTGTTTACATATGTGTTTACATTATTCTACTGTGTTGTTGTAAACTGCCCAGATTCATCCCGGTAACATGGGCAGTGTAGAAATGTAATGAATAAAGAACGAAATAAATAAAAATTGCTAGTCCTTAACCTATAGACAAGCAGAAAAAGAAGGAACACCTGATTCCTCCTTCATTTAATGTTACATCCTGCCAATTTGATCATATCTGTCAAGAACATTATTACGTCCAACACTAGATATTTTTCCTTGCTTCTGCAGTGGGCCATATTCCCATGTGGGCCATATTCCCATATTCCCAATGAAACTTAAGCAATTGTTGCTTCATTGGATATTGTTCAATACCAGATTTTTTTTTTTTTTTTGTGGCAATGGGATAAGAATGTCATATTTGTGTTGCTGTATTTGCAGCTAGGGAAATAAGGGGGCAAGGTGACAATGGAGACAGAAAGGATTGGATTGTTGTAACCCAGTTTCTTTTTCTGAAATCTCAGGCTGAAAAGCAACATACCCAATGTTTCGGAATCTGATCAATGGGTCAGTAAAGGGAACAGTCTTGTCAGGAGAACAAGAAGAAGAACCCGAGGGTTCCATATAACAGACTTGGAAAAACTAAGTAACTTGTCTTTTCAAGCAACATTTGAGCCTTGTTGCTTTGGTCTGGCAGGAGATTTGGTCTGGCAGGAGCAAGACGTTGAGTGTTTTTTCAGATCCACATACGAATACGCAAAGATTTAAGCAGATAGATCATATGTCATCAATCCTTTTCAGATTTTGTCCAATCCCACTGTACTCCACTGTCACCTGTAAGATCATTTTAAGATTGTTCTCCAAGTTTTCTCTGGTGATATGGGAAAAATCTCACAAGGTTTGGTGATCTCATGAACCATTGGCCTTCCTTCAGTTCAATTGCAACAATAACTTCAGATGTTATGAAAGGACTCAAAGAGGTTGTGTTGAGACTCTCTACGAGAGATCAAGCAAAAATTATAACATTTCCTGATCTATCACTTTTACTTTTCTATCTGGACCTGTTAATTCCAAGAATTTTCACATTCTTAAGCTAAGGTTTTCTCATATATTTTATTTCCCGTAATGAACTGTTTCACTCCAGAAAAGTTCTCCATCTGAGAACCAGGCAAGTTTTTCTCATTATGATCCATTCAAAGCAATTGCAAGAACCAGTACTGTTTTCTCTAGCACCACGTGAAAAGAACATGTAAATGTGACTTGTAAATAATGAGCTCCACTTACTTGAATATAACGAGCTGTCATCATCTTCCTCTTCTTCCTCCTCATCATCTTCTTCTCTTGCATAGAGGCATGAAGAATCGCCAAAGTCAGATTCATGAGGCACATTTTCTTTATTGTCATCACATTCAATCACAACAGTTGGCACTTGTCTCATGTCTGCAAGGCCTCCAGGTCCAGTTTTTGAGTGGCTGTCACCGCCATGTAAACTGGAGCTTTAGAATCAAGAAACAAGTGTGGCAAGAAAGGTCATAAAATGGGGCAGAATTCACTTAACAACTGTCTCGCTTGAACTCAATTGTGGTCATAAGTCAAGAACTACCTTTATCATTTCAACTACTGTGAAATCATATATAAAGTGATGTTCAGACTTCATCTCTTCATTGTCTTCAGCAGGGCTTGTGCCATTGTTTTATGCTGACATATATATATATATATATATATATATATATATATATATATATATAATAATATATGTGTGTGTGTGTGTGTGTGTGTGTGTGTGTGTGTGTGTATGTGTGTGGTGTATATATATGGTTGACACTGAGGAGGACACATTGATATGGTTTCAAGAAATCTCGTAAATGTCTGTTGCCGCCAACTTTGCAAACTCTTTGGCGATTAACTTTTCCTTTACAGCAAGACTGTAAATGGCAATGCTATCAAAGACATCCATAAGAGACGCTGCGTGGCACAACTGACTTCTTAAAATAAACACGTTGTTTTAAAAAATCTACATTAATCTCTTCAGAGATAAGCATGTTTGCCAAAACAAAACAAAAGAAATTTATAATGCATCAAGATGTGTTGGTTTTGCAGATGCTTTGCCCACATGCGTTATGAAAAGGGCAACTGCTTTTTCAGACAAAAAACGTCATCAGCTGCTTAATCTCACAAGGATGAAGTTAACAGATACCATTCCGACAGTGATGGCAACTGAATAATTGGCCCATTATTTTGAAACCCTGCTTTGGGATTATGAAAAATAGACACGTGCTACTTTTGTAATTCTTCCCAATCATTCAGCATCTGTCTGAATTCCCAATTTATAAATTATTAACAAAGCAACATTAAAGGAGTAGGCTGGATTTAACCTAACCTTGAACAAAGAGCATTGTTTTGTGCTAAAGAAATACAAGGCAAAATAGAATCCCTACCAAATTAACCCAAACCAGGGGTGAAATCCAGCAGGTTCTAATAGGGTTCTGGAGAACTGGTAGTGGAGATTTTGAGTAGTTCCGAGAACTGGCAAATACCACCTCTGGCTGGCCCCAGAGTGGGTTGGGAATGGAGATTTTGCAATATCCTTCCCCTGCCACGCCCACCAAGCCACGCCCACAGAACCGGTAGGGGAAAATTTTGAATTTCACCCCTGACCCAAATCAAAGAGAAACTTTATCTGAAAGGTTAAATCTTAAATCTGAAAGGATTTTATAGGATGCTATGCTTACAAGCTGGTTCCATTCTTCCATAAAACGCAGGTTAAGGAGAAGAGTGGAGTGGTTTGGAGTCAAGGGCCTGAGAGGTCTCAGGCAACTTGCTGTGACTAACTTGCAACAGCCAATTTGCCATGGTCAACTTCTCACAGCCAACTCATCATGGGACAACTCATCAAGCGACAAGAGTTACACTAATATCTAAGAAATAGTGGGATAGAATCATTAAAGAAAGGATGCAAAAGGAGGGACACAATGAAATGTGAATGACAAAATTAAACTAAGTTTTGAAACTATTTTAAATAATAAAATTGAATTATTGAATTGTCCTGTGGAGAGTTGTCCTGCAGCAAGTTGGCCATGGTGAACTGGCCACAGTGAAATGGCAGTGGTGAGTTGGCCATGGTGAGTTGGCCAAGTGAGTTGTCCCATTCCGGGATCTGAAAATGACATCTTCCAATTACAGAGCAAGTTCATCAATGGAGACTTCAAATGCTCTCCTGGAATTGTTTAGTCCTGCAAAGGTAAAGGTACCTCAGATAGCACTGAATTACTTTGTAATACAAAGAGGATTTCTATCTTTAGCTTGATAGTTAATACTGGCTAGGGAATTCTAGGAGTTGAAGTCCAGACATCTTAAAATTGCCAAAGTTGACAAACAGTGCCTTATGGTCTCTCATCCAAGTAGTTCCAAATCTGACCTGTTTATCTATTGGCCATCAACTATGTTTGTCTACCTGCTACTGCCAAGCTTAGTATTGATTTAATGGTCAAATAAAAGTTTGAGCTCTTCATGAGGCCATCATCTCTCCAGGGGTGGGATGCTGGGGCTTCGTAGGGGTTTGGGAGAACCACTAGCTAAAATTCTGTGCAGTTTGGAGAACCCACAAATCCCACTCTTGGCTGGCCCCCCCACCCCTCCCCTCCCAGGAGCCCTTCATGGCATGGGCACAGGGTACTTGCAGGACCACCTCCTACCGGCCTCCCATCACCCAGTGCGTCCACATAGAGCTGCCCTCCTCCAGGTGCCGTCGGCCAGACAATGTTGGCTGGCAGCCCCCAGGTCGAGGACGTTCTCTGTGGCCGCACTGACCCTCTGGAATGGGTTACCCACCGGGCTCCAGACGGCTCCCGACCTTTGCACTTTCTGCACTGACCTGAAGACATGGCTCTTTTGGCAAATCCCCGATCGGCTGTGTGATTTTAAATTCTGGGGATTTTAACTTGGTTTTTGGTTTTAGTATTTTATCATGTTCTTTTATTGTGTAAGCTGCCCCGAGTCCTACCGGAGAAGGGCGGCATATAAATTATGCAAAATAAATAAATAAAATAAATAAAAATAAATTTTGGATGCAGGTAAGTGCAGGGCGCGCACGGAGGCTCGGGGAGGGTGAAAAATGGGCCTACCAGAAGTTCGGGAAGTTCATTTCCAGCCTCCAGAGGGCCTCCGGAGGCTGTGGAGGCTGTTTTCGCCATCCTGGAGTCTTGAGGAAAGCCTCTGGAGCCTGGGGAAGGCAAAAACACCCCCTCGGCCATAGTGCAGGAGGCTGACTAGGCCACGCTCACCATGGCCACACACACACACACACACTCAGCAACCGGACAGAGAACCCCTTGCTAAAATTTTTGAAGTTCACCCCTGCATCTCTCCCTTCTGCTACCATGAAGGTTTTAGCTACATTATTTTTATTCATGCAAGACTGGAATTCCTGTAAAGCCCTATCAAATTCAGTGGGAATTACTTCCTGGTATCCAGAGACTGACTGGCAGTCCCAGTCTCTTATCAGCAAAGCATGCAACAGGTTTGTTAGAAGGATTACTGAGATTATGCATAGGAAGAACTATTCTACAACACAGCACACGTTTTCAAAGGAATTATCTTGGTGCAAACAACTAGATACATAATATTTGAATCTGAATGACAGAATTATCTTTGAACCTGCACTCTTGTTCTTTTCCTTTACAGTTGTAGGGTTAGGATCAGATTAGGGGTAAAGTAAATTGCGTATGAATACAATGACACTTTTTTTGTTATGTAAATAGTCGGCAAGATGAAACTTGAACAGTCTCCAGTTTCTCTTGAAATTCAAATAGCGTTTTTTGATGTAGATCATGTTGTACGGGGAAGAGGGAGGGTGAGTGTATTAAATTTTCTCATTACATTGTGCACAATTGCAAGGATAAGTAGGTTCCCTTTGACTCCAGGAACTCAGAAAGCACAAGAGAGAGCGCTCCATGTTCTTTGGCATATTTCTTTCATGGGGACCATTAATTACTGTTCTCTGTATTCTCTGCTTCTATCCTTTTTCAAAGAATTGCCATCTGACTGAATCTTGTCTAATTATTGTCTTATTGTGAGTCGAGACTCCCAATACAAGTGTCATGAAATACAATTCCAATCTCATAACAATTTATTATTATTAATAAGAACTGGGCTAGTTAGAACCCCAGCACGATGTTTTAAATGAGCCCCATTAAGCCCATACCTGTAAATCTGATGTTTCCCAAGATTCATACACTTGGAAAAGAGTGAACTGCTGTATCAGCCCCACAGGCCTTTCATTCTAAAGTGCTTGGTCTCCACTACAACATATATAATATAATATAATATAATATAATATAATATAATATAATATAATATAATAATAATAATAATATAATATACATACAATACAATACAATACAATACAATACAAACAATACAATACAATACAATACAATACAATACAATACAATACAATACTATACTATACTATACTATACTATACTATACTATACTATACTATACTATCAGAGTTGGAAAGGATCTTGGAGGTCTTCTAGTCCAACCCCCTGCTTTGGCAGGAAACCCTACGCCACTTCAGACAAATGGTTATCCAACATCTTCTTAAAAACTTCCAGTGTTGGAGCATTTACAACTTCTGGAGGCAAGTTGTTCCACTGATTAACTGTTCTGTCAGGAAATTTCTCCTTAATTCTAAGTTGCTTCTCTCCTTTATTAGAATAGAATAAAATAGAATAACAGAGTTGGAAGGGACCTTGGAGGTCTTCTAGACTGACCCCCTGCCCAGGCAGGAAACCCTTAGTTTTCTTAAATTAGTTTCCACCCATTGCTTCTTGTCTTACCCTCAGGTGCTTTGGAGAATAACTTCGCTCCCTCTTCTTTGTGGAGCCCCTGAGATATTGAAACACTGCTATCATGTCACTCTTCGTCCTTCTTTTCATTAAACTAGACATACCCAGTTCCAGCAACCATTCTTCATATGTTTTAGCCTCGAGTCCCTTAATCATCTTTGTTGCTCTTCTCTGCACTCTTTCTAGAGTCTCCACATCCTTTTTACATCATGGCGACAAAAACAGAATGCAGTATTCCAAGTGTGGCCTTACCAAGGCATTATAAAGTGGTATTAACACTCCACGTGATCTTGATTCTATCCCTCTGTTTATGCAGCCTAGAACTGTTTGGCTTTTTTGGCAGCTGCTGCACACTGCTTAAGTGTTGCTAAAGAATGCCATCTCATAAGGGAAAAAAAAAAAATCCCCAAACACTCATTTTTCTGCCACAGTAGTTCCTAATCTGTGCTTCCAGACAACCCATGATCTGTAAGATTTCTGCAGATAATTTTACAAGCATAATCTTTTCCCCACTCGGAAGACTGCTGCAGATAAATTATTGAGATGAATATAATAGCTATGGAAATGAGCGTGAAACGTCGTTCAAAATGTATCTGCTTTTTAAATTCTTTCTGATATATAAAATGGGCTGAAAACCACTATTGAAAACCACAACTACACAAAGAAAGAGGTTCAGAACATTTGGTCTAGTCTTACATTCAGAGCATCTACTAAAACTGTAGTTGACAATAAGAAATACTCATAGCAGATTTATTATATAGGGATTATATAATTATATAGGGATAATTGGTTATATTATTATATAACTGATATATCATAGGGATGACATATAACTGATATACAGTATAATAGGGACAGAACCAATATATCATAGGGATGATTAGTTATTCCATTATATAGGGATTATATAATTATATAGGGATGATTAATAAAGCACCTGGCAGCGACTATTGTCTTTGCATGACAAGTCAGGAATTTGAAACGATTCTTTGCCATAAACACACTGCATGGCGCAACCATCCATCTAATAATTATTTGCTTTTTAAAAAATGAACACCTTATATTACAAATTGCCTGATTTAGCCTAATCTGAATAACCAACATAATAATTATTATGGTATTCCGCCCACAAACACATAAATATCATTATGCAAAATAAAGGTAGTAAGGGTAATTGTAGTAATTTTCTTCATCTCCTTAATTGGATCTGACCTATCAGAATAGAAACATGAAACCAACAAATGAAATGGAAAGCAGAAATATGTGATGCAGGAATATTTCTGATTCGTATCAGTGTCTGTAAAGGTACAGTATTAGTATCAAACAATTTTCAAAGAGGTGTTAGAGAAATTGCTCTCCAAATTACTCTAACCTCTAAAAAAATACCACTATTATCTCAAAGATAATGGAAATCTGTCTAATTTGTACATAGTCTACAATGTTCAAAGCTTTTATTTTGACATAACAAACACAAGACCTCAAAATGAATATTTACCAAGAAAAAAGAAATGATGGAGATAACTGTATTATCATCACCAAGAATAAGTAATGTAGCAGAATATAATCTCAAAATTTTGATGTATAAAATGTACCTCTGTATTGCCTATGCTCAAAAAGCTCTGTTTCTATAGTTCCTGATTGATCACATTTCTTGGTATCTACCTCTAACGGGAGATGATGCTTTCTATCAACTCAGACCACTGAACTATCCACCCAGCGTTGTCAATACTGATTCAAGGCTCTATACAAGTGTTTTCTAGCTCGATTTGGATTCTAATGCTCAGAGTGCTGCATCTTTCCATTATGGATAGCAATTGCAATAGCACTTAGAGTTATATACCACTTCATAGTCCTTTACAGGCCTCTCAAAGTGGTTTACAGAGTCAGCATATTGCCCCCAACAATCTGGATCCTCATTTTACCCACCTTGGGAAGAATGGAAGGCTGAGCTGGTGAGAATCGAACTGCTGGCATTCGACAGAATTACCTTGTAATACTGCATTCTAACCACTGTGCCACCACAGTTCTTTGTTCCCAGTGTGGAGAATTATCTGCACTAAAGTCCCGAACATGCTTTTTTCTTCTTCTTTTTTTCCAAGAGGCAACTGGACTTTCTGGTTTTTCTTGGAAGATGTTTCGCTTCTCATCCAAGAAGCTTCTTCAGAGGTTCATCTTCCAAGAAAAACCAGAAAGTCCAGTTGCCTCTTGGAGAAAAAAACCCCCACACCTTTGGAACAACCATGACCTGGATGACTGAGAATCTCCACAGACATCTGCATTAAAGGTTAAGTCACCAGAAAGAAGGCATGGCAGAAAAAAAAATCACTTCTTCTTGAGTAAACAATTTGGGCTCATAAGAAGAGCCTCGTTGGATTTAACCAGAAACCATCTAATTCAGCATCCTGTATTCTACAGTGACAAACCAGACTCTGGAAACCAGCCTGCTCGCAAGAGATTAGGGTTAGATCAGGGATGTCAAACTCACATCATCACGGTGGCATCACATGACGTATTGGGATTCCCCCCCACTTCGCTAAACTGGCATGGCCAGTGTGTGATGCATCCAGCCCACGGGCCGAGAATTTGACAGCCCCGGTCTAGATGTTTCTTTTACACAGCTTTTCTTCTCAATATGAACAGAGTTGAGATGCTCAAATTACCTTTCTAGCCGCTGCATGGTCATGGACAGTGTTTTATTCAACTCTTCGATCATGCGACATCCTGAAGGGTGCATGGGTAACGTGCTGGATCCAGAAGGCATATGTGGGCTGTGGCTGCCGTACTGATGCTGGTGCGCTGCTAACTGTGATGGTAGGACTGTGTGATGATGCGAAGTCAATGATTGTTGGGAGTTCTTCTGTGTGGAATAGGATGTGAGGGAGAGATCGGGTCCCCCTAAAGGCATGCAAATCATGACTTTCTTTGGAGGTAGCGGAGGTGATAGCTTGACTGGCATACAAGGCAGCTTCATCGGAGCACCAGGATCTTAAAAACAAAGGTTGAGAAACACGGTTATGAACATAGGTGGAAAAAAGTACTTTGATTCTCTCCACAGCCATCGACTCATCTAACATTGAAAGCATTTTTTCTTTTGCACATCTCATGCAGTTCAAATAGATATGAGAGATTACTATATATATATATATATATCATGCTATCCTTCCTGGTTCAATCTGTAAACAGGTAGTCCTCGACTTATGACCACAACTGAACCCAACATTTCTGTTGCTAAATGAGACATCTGTTAAGTGAATTTTGTAGATTGTTGCAGCAATTTACATGGTCATCCAGTTGAAACCTCTAATACGTATACATCTATAAAGAACATCTGAAGAGACGCAAAGAGGAATAAGATGGAAGAAATCCCATTTCTCCCTTTCTCTTCATATCATTGGCTAACATTTTTAGCTACAGTTCTTCATATATTACCTGTGAAAAAGAAACGATGATTTCTCCTCCCCACCGACGCTTGTGAGTTTCATTAGGACTAGAATAGAGCTCACTAATTTTATTAAGATCAACCTTAGCTTCCGTATGCTTTGCACGCTAATATATTTTGATATGTTTTAGATTTGCTTAAGTGAGATGGGTGGTATAGAGGTATGATAAACAAATGAATGAAACTGCTTGGTTTAGGATTATGTTATGGTAATAGGATTTCAGTAAAAGACTATCCTACATAAACTGCTGCATTTTTACTACATTTTTTAAAAAACTGTAATTTTATACTAATTATATATGTACATGATTTCCATGTCTTGTGTATAAGGCACAATATTAATACAGATATATGAGTGAGAGGGGAGAAAGAATAAAATAAAAACAGTCTTAAGAATGGGCCATATAAAATCTACAGTGTCAATTAGAAAATCAACTGCATTTTAATGTGAATTGATGTAATTCTTAGATTAAATGCCTTTCTTTACATTTTTGAGGTCTCATCTCTCAAAAATAGCATAGATTAGTAAATAACATATGGAGAACGTTTTGGGTAAGGTAGGTGAATAGATGCCCATTGCTTTGCTGGGGACAGTACAGCAGAAATGCGATTGGATGCAGGATCTAAACTGCCAATAATTCTCCTTGGATTAAAGGAAAGTCTTGAGAGCACACCAGGGGTGGGTTTTACTTACTTTTACTACCAGTTTGCAATGGGACCGCATCCGCTCGCTTCTGCGCATGCGCAGATCACCCCTGATGACGTCGTGGTGGGTGGGCGGGGCCTCCTGCCGGTTTTACTACCGGTTCTATAGAACCGGATCAAACTAGGAGCAACCCACCACTAGAGCATGCTCATGTATTCTACAAAACTGGAGGTTTTTTTGTGAGTCAATAAAGAAATAGATATTTTTGTAGCTGCTCATGATCAGCTGGGAATCGTGGGTTTTATCATGCTCTGAGCCATTAATGTAGCCTTTTTTAAGAAGTCAAAGTTCAACCAAGCCTCATCTTTTTAAACACCTTGGGAGTTGAACTTCCTTTTTATTATTTCCTAAAGAGTGAAAATCTTTCAGAACTGCAAGCTTTGTATTCGCTGGGTTAGTGCCTCTTTAATCCATTTGAAAAGAAGAAAATATGTGTGTTTCCAGCTCTGTAAGATTTTATTTTCTGTAATAGGCACAGAAGGATGAGTATAGTGTTGTTTTTGGAAAGTATTTAAAATGCTAAAATTTGCATAAAATTGATTTAAAGAAAGACATGGAAACTAACTAAAAATGTCTTCTCTTGTGAGAATTTCCCAATTTATAAATTGCTGATAAGAAGGCTTTGAAGGGTAATCACTAGAAAGGACTAGAGGTTATGTTAAAGGAAAGTTAGATTTGTGGACTCAAGAACAGTGTGAGCTACTTAACCTTATATTTTGAACAAAAAGTGTTGAAGAGAATCACGTTTCTTTGAATAAAATCAAAAAGGATATTATAGGGGACTCAAAAACTGTAATCTTCAAGAGAGAGAGATGGATTTGCAAATGGAAGAATATTAAAAAACAAGTGATACACAAATAAGATATCAAAAAGATGTGTATTACTCATTTAAATTGGACTATCAGAGAAGGTACATTGAAATTGCAAATGGATTTTAATAAATATGACAAGGACTTTGAGAGAAGAGACAAAAATAAGAGTTTTTAGAAAATGTATTGAAATATGGAATGAAGATGTATTTGGTAGTATTTTTAAGTTATAGTCACACGTTAATATTGAATATACTTGCTGGAGATGAAGGGGGAAATTTCTTCATATAGTTTCTTTTTCTTTTCTCTGCACTTTTTTAAAAAAACATTCTTCTTTAATGTATTTTTGTATTAGCTTTTTGTATCTGCTTTATCTGTTTAATATAATCCTTATTAAAATTATTAAAAAGAATAGTAAATAACATACCAATATTCATATTTATATTTTTAACAATAGTGAACTTTTTTGGCATTAAAAAAAGTTAATAGACCTAGTCAGTAATAATTGGATGGAATAGCTATTTCTGAATGATTTCATGCAAACCTGACAGATGCGTTTGCAGCAGAGGTGAGTTTCAGCAGGTTCTGACCAGTTCTGGAGAACCGGTAACGGAAATTTTGAGTAGTTCGGAGAACCGGTAGTAAAAATTCTGACTGGCCCCGCCCCCATCTATTCTCTGCCTCCCAAGTCCCAGCTGATCGGGAGGAAATGGGGATTTTGCAGTAACCTTCCCCTGAAGTGGGGAGGGAATGGAGATTTTACAGTATCCTTCCCCTGCCATGCCCACCAAGCCACAGAATCGGTAGTAAAATAATTTGAAACCCACCACTGGTTTGTAGCCTGACTCTTTTATCTTTAGTTTTAATACAATGTCTGTATTTATTTATTTATTTATTTATTTATTTATTGATTGATTGATTGATTGATTGATTGTATGGCAAAAATGTAAAAAAATATGCTGTAATTGTTGTTTAAACATGAATCAAGTATCTGAATTTAAATGTATGGCATTTTCTTTGTTTCCCTTGGCTCTTGCAGTTTATTTTTTTACTGAATGATGGCCCAATTGTTGAAACAAATCTTTGTATTTGGTAACCTAAGCACGCTACAACATGCTAAATGAACACTGCCATACAATCAGGTCAGGAAGAGAGATGTTTATGAAGACCTGTGTGGCCTAATATTTGAGGTTAATCTGCTCTGGTCTGCTGGCTTGGAGAAGGCTGTCTCATCAAAAGTGTTAAAGGAGGTGAAACACTGACTGGTTTCTGTATGCACAAAGGAAAATACTATTTCTGTCTTTGCCTCAAGCATGAAAATGCCTTGAGCTGCCTCTGTGTAAGAAAATATAGCTATGTTCCAATTTATAGATTTCAGCATCTTTCAGAATAAATGTACACAATCACAGCTCCAGGGCAGTGTGCCATCTTCATAAAAAGCCTCCATTTTATTTGTAACCAAAACGCATTAATGCGGCAGAAAGGGAAAGGCAAATATACGATTAACCACAGCTAATTTTCAATTAAATTTAAAAACAAAAACAAAGTATCTGAATTGATCAGAAATCATAATATGATGACAACAATGAGAAGAGAAACCAGATATTAAATTAAAGGGAAATTATTTTTCTGTATTAAATATTCATTCTCAAAAAGATGAAACCCGAAACAGTTTCTGCAAGCCCCTCCTTAATTAAATCATATGGTAGCTTCTATAAAGCCAGAAGCAAACTGTCCATCACAACTTGCTACTGGTTATGTTTTGTCTAAACAAAAGCACATACCCATCATCTCACGGTGGAAATTTATTGAGAATTGAGATGGTTTTTCATTTTCATTGTCTGTTTCATTAAATGCATCTCTTAAAATGCAATCCATATGTGACATTTTCATTTTGGAAAGAAGGATGTACTGGAATTAACTGCTCATTTCAAGACTCTCTGCAGGGCAACATAATCCATAATTCCAGCATGAATAACATCTTTTGATTTATGATCCATACAACCTGAATTATAAGCACATCTATTGGCAAATAAGAGTTTTGATTTCACCAAGGCATAAATTAACCTATATATTCAAATTCAGTTATATATAAATTTAAATTAATTGTCCCATTTCCACTATAGATCATCTTCAGGTGGGAAGGAGCCAAGAACAGGCAGAAAGGGAATATTTAACCCTTAAGCAATTTCTTAGCCATTATTTTATCTGCAAGAAAATAAGTCCCCTATACCTGGCTGGCTGGGGAATTCTGGGAATTGAAGTCCACCAGGCTTAAAGTTGCCAAGGTTGGAGACCCCTGCCCTATACTGTATCCAAGAACATAAATACAGGCAGTCCCCGACTTACAAACACAATTGAGCTCAAAATTTCTGTTGCAAATGAGATATTTATTAAGTGAATGTTGCCCCATTTTGCGACTTTTCTTGCCATGGTTGTTAATTGAATCCCTGCAGTTGTTAAGTTAGTAATACAGTTTTTTAAGTAAATCTGGCTTCTCCATTTACTTTGCTTGTCAGAAGGTCACAAAAGGAGATTACATGACCCTGGGAACTGCAACTGTCATAAATATGAGTCAGTTGCCAAGCATCCAATTCTTGATTATGTGACTATGGGGATGCTGCAATGGTTGTAAGTGTGAAAAATGGTGATAAGTCCTTTTTTTCCCACTGCCGTTGTAACTTTGTACAATCACTAAATGAACTGCTGTAAGTCAAGGACTATCTGTAGGTGTGAAGCTGCTTGAATGTAAATAGGCAAGGAATGAGAAGGGAAACTATCTATTGGAAAGCACTACCTCTTAGAGAATAAAATACTGGACATATTCCTTAATTTCACAGTGGAGACACTTAACCATATGTAGTTTAACTGGGAAACTGTGAGTACCCTAGACCAAGCCAAGTCTAAAAACACTAGACAATTCCTGGAAGCCTGGCACTCAGACAAATTGGCCATCAACAGCACATAGACATAAACAACATCTACATACTATTCAAAAGAGACAGTCAAAAAGCCAAAAGGGAAACTAAAAGACTAAAACATCTCCTCACCAGCAATCAACACCCAGATGAGCAGAAATTAACACCAAGATTAACATTAGACCAATAATCAAGAAGAAAACAATACCCCAATCAAGGAACTGCCAAACAAGCTAATTGTAAACAACAGCTCAATCAAGGAACCATCAAGACCACTCCCACCAACACTGACAGGGCAAGCCACTTGAATATAAAATGAGAGCAAACTCCACTCCTTACTAGCACTGATGATGTTACCTAGTTTGGTACGGAAACATCTGCAAGGAAACAATCAAGCTCAGAGAGCACCAAGGACCCCACAACTCTGGGCATAATATTACATCAAATGGTGTTCAACAATATGCTCTCTGACTTCCAAATTGTACTAGATTTATATAAATCTTCATTCATTTCATGTTATTAAGGGATATTTATTAATAAAACTAAATCCAAAGAAAGTTATATTAGGGCGGTGATTATCTAGATAGGAAAAAATCCAGGGGAAAAAAATTCCTTGCTACCATCTAATTATTGTCTGGATTTCTGCAGTCCACAAATGGTAGGCTTGATTAATAACATATAAATCTCTGCCACTGATTTTGAAGTGGCCATCCTTGTAGAAAGGACTTGCAAAGGAACGCTCTATCCTGAATCTCTTGAATTACAACTCATCCAGAAATTCAGTTCTGTTCATTTGGGTTTCTGCGGAGACAATAATTGCATGTTGCACTATATATAGTAATTAATTCAGCACTAATGTGAAATTTTTGTGTTACCACCTATCAAGTTTTTTTTCAAGAGATTGGTGTGTTTATTTTGAATACATTCGAGTTCTAATTAAAGTATCCCTAACAGTATATTTTTCTCCCTTTAATCTCATTATTCACAACCTAAAATGCCCTCTAACTGAGCAAAGGAGAATAAACCATGTGTCTGATGACAAGTTGGCTAAGAGTAGGAAGATAAGGAATTGGAAGCTTCAAAATGATCTTTAGATGATTTCTAATTGATCAGAACAGGGCAAAGTAAGGATATGAAAGACAGTTCTAATAATGCTGTTTTAGAATTTCATGTTCTTGACATCAGCCCTTGCAGCAATGAACAGTAATGACCAAGTCTATAGCTCCTGATATTTTCACATTGCAGCTAAACAGTAAAAGTCCTTAATCCTCCTTCCAAAATCCAAAATTTAGTATCTAGTATCTCATGCATAGTACTGCATTTCACAAACAAAAGAGCTGGTTAGAAAAAAGACACTTCCTTTTCAACACAGGATGAATCGCATAAACTATGATTTCACCTCTCAAACCTGCTATATTTATTCCCCAAATCACAGAAGCGGTTTGATGGCAAATTATGATTAACTCCACTTCTGCTGATTTGAAAAACTAAGAACAAGTGAAAATCACCGCCATACCGAGCTACTGAGAGTTTTGCAGCAACAAAAAGGAAAAGCTTCCACAAGTCCTGCTAATTTTATGCTGAAAAGAAAAGCAAAACGAGAAAAACATTTGTCAGTTTTATCTCAAACTTATTTTGTCTAGACTACTAAAAAGTTTTATATAGCCATAAAGGTAATATGTCAAGTAAGTAAAGCTTATAAGACTTGAAATTCCAGAATTAGGAAATAAGCCGAAAAGTCCTTCTCATTGAACAAAAACCATGCAAAAATGAACTTTGCAGCATTCACATATAACACATTGAAGTAGTAGCTGGAACAAAATAATCACAGCTCTTCCACAGTATTGTGGGAGGAGAGAAGTTTGGTGTTAATAGAAACCTTGAGGGGACAAAACAGAAAGGAGATATGAAAGTCCTCACTTGAAGCCAGGTTTAAAAAGTTTATAAGGTCCCAAGTGAAGCCAGATGTTGAAGGCTCTAAAACTCATTGAATCAGGTCACATTATTTTGCCTTCCTGCTCAAAAGCTCTGGAGTCTGATCATTCTTCTAATACATTTGGGGCAGAAGACCTGTTCTGTGGACAAGTGTGGCCAACCAACCACGTAATTAGAAAGCAAAGAAAACACAGTTTATGTGAAGAAGGACAAGTATCAAATAAACTTCTATAACAGGATGAAAACAGAGTAGAGGAACAGTGGAAGACATAAAAGAGATAACAAATAAAGGCAAACAACAGTGAGTTCCCCCATTGACGCATAAATAGAAAGGAATGAAATCTAAAAGATAGTATTATTAATATTAGTGTATTTAAAAAAAGAGCAATCAGCTCTTGAAACAACTACTGGTATATAGCAAAGAAAAAAAAACATGTATGAGTGAGATTTAAGCTCTCATTATTTATTTCCCATGAGCTATAATGGGAACTCCAGTTCCTTAAGACAAACCTGTAAGTTTTTGGAAGAAGCTGGAGGAAACATAGAGACATTAAACTGACATTTGATTGAAACAGACTCCAGCTAACAATTTAATGCTAGAAAATGTTTTTTTCTATGGTCTAATAGCCACGTGTTCTCATGTATTTGCAGATTGGTAACCCAGGTATTCTAACGAAAGATGCAAAAACAGCAGAGAGGCCTACATGACTGTGTCATGAAGAAAATAACATTTTGTCTAGAGACGTGAGGAAAAGTGCATTTTTTCAGGGGAGGGCAGCACAAACCAAACAGGAACATTTACTTACCAGCTAAATGGTTGGCAATCTTGGTAATGGGCTTAGGAGGCAGGGCAGGGGGTTGTTTGAGGAGGGAAAGCTGCTTCACTGGGGTGTCTTCATGATCTCCAGAGAAAGCAGCAGATTTTTTAGGGGGGAGTAGCAAGACTGGTTTAGATGTAGGTTCTTGAGGGAGGTGGATTCCAGATTCACTGGACGTGGGACTCTCTTCAGACACTGGAGGACACAACCACAGCACAGACGCAACAAGGTTACAAGCAAAGCAGCAGCAGAAAGACAAAGGCAGCAGAGCAATGCAGATTTAAAAATGTAATTAGCCATATTTTACTCAGACGTACAAAGAAAAGAAGGAGGCAGAAAAAGAGAGAGAGAGAGAAATTCTGGTGCTTTCACTACAGACCTATCACTAGTACGTCCCTCACTAGCAACAATCTAGGGACAAATTCTCAGGCTTATTTTTTTGCTCAGCTTGCTTCTACTGAAGTCAACTGACTACATACCACAACTGGTAGTACCACATCGGTATTGCTTTTAGAATCCTAACAGTGCCTTCGATATTCCTTTTTCTAAAGTCCATGGGTTATTTAGGATGTAAACAACTCTTTACAGAAGTATTTAACAAGTTTTTTTATACTGAGGTCTTTCCCACTGACCAGACTTGCAAAATATCCTGTATGTTGCAAAAGATTTTGAGATATATTGTTAGGTATATCACTTGTCCTCAAAGGCTAGAATATTCTAGAATGTCCTAGAATATTTCCCTCATGACTGCATATCTCACAGAAAGACAAGAAGAAATGCAGAAGTTTCAAAAAGGGATTCTTGTTATAATTGTTCTTCAATGAGTCTGTCTGTCTGTCTGTCTGTCTGTCTATCCATCCATCCATCCATCCATCCATCCATCCATCCACCCATCTTCTATCTCTATCTCATCTCTACTTATTACCATATCTATCTGTCTGTCTGTCTGTCTGTCTGTCTGTTTGTCTGTCTGTCTGTATCACCAACTTTCCAAGTCTTTTAAAAGTTATCATCATTATTCTGTCCTGTTAAATAATTTTCAGATACATAATTTTATCTTAAAAATCCAAGAGCAATTCTGCTTGGATATTGATGGTGGGAACTTTCAGTTCTCTTTTCTAACTCAGGATAGTATTAATACACTGAAAAACTCCTTGCTTTTTGGCTTAGCTGAACAACTTAAGCTGTACAACTGTTGCCAAGGACCAGCATGTCTTGTCAAGTTATTATAAACATTACTTTTGAGAAGAATAAACCCCACTGAATTTGAAAACAATCTAATTTGCCCTTTGTTTCATAAAGACATCACATTCCCTTTTCACTACATGGTACTTTGTCACCTCCATATATTGAAAGAGAGAGAGAGACAGAGAGAGACAGAGAAAGAGAGATGATGAGAATATCTCACTGACGACATAAGGTAAACTTTGAGCTTGTTCATGAATATGCCAATTTTTTTTTTGCAGGAATTCTTCCATCATAAAATGAGTTTTCTATATTGAAATTAGATCAATGGAAAGGCAACATTAAAGTACTAGTATACAAGCTATTGGGTTGGATTTACATTCCATATATTTCTGTTGTCTATGGAAAGTATGGAAAATATAAAAATAATAATCCTTTCCTGCTCTTCTATGCCCTGCTTCTTGCAAATATCTCCATATTGTTCAGCCATCATACTAAGAAACACCAGTGTCACTGCTTTTTTTGTATATACTTAATTCCTTTCACAGCTTTCTAATGGAGTGGTCAACACTACAACTAACCGCATTAGATTCTACAAATTAGACATTGGAAAAAATAAATGAATGTACTCTTTTAGTTTTCCCCAACCTGATCCAATTCAGAAGGATTTGGAGCTCAGCTTCCTGAACTGTGGCCCCAAAATAAAAATAAAAAGTTTAGCCATCTTTTTTTACTTAATCTAAAAACCTTTTTTTTATCTGCGGGTCAGTAGAGTTCTTTTCTTCTTATCATTCCGATCGTAAACAATCATTTCAAATTTAGTTGAAATAAACATATGCCACCATTAAAACAAAAGTAATATTGTTTTGGCAAGTTAGTTCACTAAAGAATAATGTCACCTACTGTACTAACTCACCCACTGACATTGGCAAACCTTTTGAATGTTAGTTCTTCATATTTATTAACTGAATTAGAGGCTGACTGTTAACATTCATATAGATAAGATATAATCTAGAATTGTTATCAGTCTGGATATATTACTACTAAAGTATTAAGGAAATAACTACATTATTTATTCTGGAGAGCCAGTTTGGTGTAATGGTTAATGGTACTGGGCTAGAAACAGGAAGTTCTAGTCTTGCCTTAGGCACAAAGCCAGAGGGGTGATTTCTGGACCAGTCATATTCTCTCAACCCTAGGGAAAAAGACAATGGCAATCCAATTCTGGAAACAGTTGCTGATAAAACTGCTTGTCCATGCAATCACCAGGAGTCAAGGTTGACTCAAAAGATTCTTTCTAAATTATGTGACTCATGATGGAATTGAAAAGCTACCTGTTCCATCCATGACCTCTGGATTCTGAAGTACTTCATAACTACAGGAATCCCCAGATATTGAACATGGCTCCAGTTCAGATAGGGCTTGCAGTGATACTTGGCTGGAACTCAACGCCTGTCCATTCTCCAATGATCCCTCTTCATTCTGTATAGAAAGCTCTCCATCTAAAAGAAAGCACAATAGTATGGGATAAAGATCATAACTGCAATTGAAAAATCAATGAAAAAAACTCTTAATACAGAATAGAATAAACTAGGGGTGAAATCTACTTACCTTCCTTACTGGTTCGGAAGCACACGGGCCGCACACAGATCTTCTGTGCATGCGCAAAACCTTCTGCGCATACGCAGAATGACACCCAGGCGGGTGGGTGGAGCTTTGCTCTGCCATCGCTACCAGATCATCGAACCACCGGCCAAGATCGCTACCGGACCGGCCAATCCGGGCCGATCCGGGAGCATTTCACCCCTGGAATAAACCTAGTTATCCAAGTATACCTTGTTTAATACATATATATCTCTGCTTTGGATATATTTATAAAAATGGTAACTGGTTGTTGGGACATTATAATGTAATGAAGGAAAGACACTGGAACAGGATTGTTCAGTGTATATTTGACATTGAGCTTCTTAGAGCAGGGCACCTAGGGCTAATTTCCCTGCACTCTCAACCTTCACCCTCCATCTTGTTTCAGGTTTTGAATGCAATACTAGTCCCACTTGAACTCTTCCATACAATAATCTACAGACTGGAATATAGTATTTTCTGATTTGCAAGTTTTGGCACATCTCCTGCACAGGTTCTTGATTGGTGCATCAGAACAGAATGCTTGAGACACCCCTATTTCATTTCATTTCTATTGAAAGCCTCTATTTGCTCATAAATTAACATTCATGAAGTCTTGAGGAAAATCTTGGAACTGATATCAATATTACTAAACACAAATAGAGAACACTGCTTAATTAATTATAATTAATTATAATGGATTTAAATAACATATTATAATTAATTAATTAATTAATTATAATTAATCAATTACAAGAAACAATGTGCAACTAATCAGGGAATTGTCTAAAACTAGCCTACACCTGTTTGGACCAATGAAAATACAAGCTAGAAATTGCCCAGTCTTCATTATTTATAAATCCAGATATATAAAGGTAAAGGTAAAGGTTCCCCTCGCACATATGTGCTAGTCATTCCCGACTCTAGGGGGCGGTACTCATCTCCATTTCAAAGCTGAAGAGTCAGCGTTGTCTGAAGACACCTCTGTGGTCATGTGGCCAGCATGACTAAACGCCAAAGGCACATGGAATGCTGTTACCTTCCCACCAAAAGTGGTCTCTATTTTTCTACTTGCATTTTTTATGTGCTTTCGAACTACTAGGTTGGCAGAAGCTGGGACAAGTAATGGGAGCTCACTCCGTTATTCGGCACTAGGGATTCGAACCACTGAACTGCTGACCTTTCGATCGACAAGCTCAGCAGCCACTGATTTACCGCGACCCTTGTATATATAATAAGCCATATACCGTGTTTCCCCAAAAATAAGACCCTGTCTTATATTTTTTTGAACCCCAAAATAAGGGCTTGGTCTTATTATCGGGGGGGGTCTTATTATTTTGGGGGTGCAGGAAACAGCGAGTGTGGCCACCTCATGGCTTCTGCTGTGTTGCGATGCTGGTCAGCTGTTCGCTGGGGAACCAAAGGTGGGAATCTCCCCAGCATTCTTGGCATTTGCCCGTCTCCCATCCGTCCATCCATCCCCCTCACCTGCAAACTCCTGCCCCGCTCCCACCTCTCTGCCGGGTGACCCCCGGCAGCCCCAGATGCCCAAAGCCTGCACCCGCCTGGCTCCCTTTTCCACAGCACCTGGCTCTTTATCGAGGGGGGGTTGCATGTGGGGTGGGGGAGAAGCAAAACACGTGGAGTGAGATGGGGCTCACTCCTCTTGCCGTCTCTTCTCCCCCCCTTGCCAGGGGCTGGGGAGACGCGAGACGTACGTCTTAGCTGCCTTGCAGCTCTGTCGTGTGTCTTGCTGTTGTCTGCAGGCAAACACATTGGGTAAAACCAAACTTCTCGCAAATTCAACAAGTTTCATTGAACTCATGAGATTTTTTTTACCCTACTGTTTGTCTGCAGACAACGGCGAGACACACGATGGAGCTGCAAGGAAGGTAAGATGGCTCCATGCACCCCAAATGGTATCGTAACAGCAGCCTGGCTTCTGCCCTTTCCCGTTGTCTCTTTGTTGAGGGGGATGGCAGGTAGGGCGGGGGAGAAGCGAGATGCATTGAGCGTGACGCGACTCCTCTTGCAGTCTCTTCTCCCCTTCTCACCGGGTATGGCAGGGCTTCCTGCCCCTGTCCAAATTGGATGCAATTTGGGGGTGGCAGGTGGGGAGGGGTGGGGCCGGGGAGACACGAGACACGTGTCTTACCTGCCTTGTAGCTCCATTGCGTGTCTTGCTGTTGTCTGCAGGTAAACACATTGTAGGGTAAAACCAAACTTCTTGCGAGTTCGAGAAGTTTGATTGAACTCGCAAGGTTTCTTTTACCCTATAACGTGTTTGCCTGCAGACAATGGCAAGACAGGCGACGGAGCTACAAGGCAGGTAAGACACATTTCACGTCTCCCCAGCCCCACCCCCACCCATCCCTACTTGCTACCTCAAAATTGCATCCAATTTGGGCAGGGACAGGAAACCCTGCCATGCCTGGTGAGAGGGGGAGAAGAGATGGCAAGAAGAGCGAGCTCTGTCTCGCTCCATGCATCTCGCTTCTCCCCCAACCCCCTCAATAAAGAGCTGGGCACTGTGGAAAAGGGAGCCAGACAGCCACGGGCTTTGGGTGTCTGGGGCTGCTGGGGGGTCACCTGGCAGAGAGATGGGACCAGGCGGGAGTTTGCAGGTGAGGGGGATGGATGGATGAACGGGAGGCGGGCAAGTGCCAAGAATGCTAGGGAGATTCCCACCTTTGGTTCCCCAGCAAACAGCTGACCAGTGGCGCAACATAGCAGAAGCCATGAGGTGGCCACACTCGCTATTTCCTGCACCCCCAAAATAATAAGACACCCCCCCCGATAATAAGGCCAAGCCCTTATTTTGGGGTTCAAAAAAATATAAGACAGGGTCTTATTTTCGGGACATGTCCTATTTTCGGGGAAACACGGTATATAAACAGCAGCAATTTGATTTCCCAAAAGTTCTTTGGTTTCCCAAAAGAAATTTTGGGATGATTTTTATGACCGATATGAATCTCTTTTCTTTTGAATTAGCTAAGAAATTTCTTTCTTTTTGTTTGTCTGTGTGTGTGTTTATGTGTTTATGTGTTTGCTATCCAAGGACTTGCCATTACGGGCAATGATTGAACGTTGCTTCAAGGGAGGGCTGCCTTTTCTCAGCCTTTTTTTTCAGAAGGAAAGAAGGAGACTACAATATACCCAACTTCAAAGGGTTTTTTTTTTGTTTAAGAGAGAGAGTTTGGAAATGGTGCTGGATGGAAATGCTCCTAAGCAGATTGAATTTAGAGCAGTGGTGAAATCCAAATTTTTTTACTACCAGTTCTGTGGGCATGGCTTGATGGGTGTAGTGTGACTTGGTGGGCGTGGCTTGGTGGGTGTGGCAGGGGAAGGATACTGCAAAGTCTCCATTCCCACCCCACTCCAGGGGAAGGATACGGCAAAATCTCCATTCCCACCCCACTTTGGGGCCAGCCAGAGGTGGCATTTGCCGGTTCTCTGAACTATTCAAAATTTCTGCTACTGGTTCTCCAGAACCTATCAGAACCTGCTGGATTTCACCCCTGACTTAGAGGGACTTAAGTTTTAGATAAACATCCTTAAGTTTATCTTCACACTTCCCCCCAGGCCTGACTGGAATCAATGAAACTTATATTCAACCGAACATGCACCTGATTGTGCTGTCTGGTAAACAATTACATAAAAGCAAATTGGTAAAGCCAATCATAATCGTATTACTGTCTTCCATTTCTAAACGATATATAAAAATAACAATATAAAATGCATCACTTGAGAACTGCTAAGTCAAATGCACTGAATATTGCTAAGTCAAATGAAAGACATTTGAACTGCATATATAAATGTTAAATTTGAGTACTGCGTAGTCTCTTCATTAATATTTCACTGAACAGAAGGATTTAAGATCAAGCTGCTTGCTGTCATCTGTTGAGTTAGATGGTTGGAAAGTATACAAGAGATGAAAAAAAACCTCAATAACTTTAATCTTTTTATAACCAAACAGCAATCTTGCAACTATACAGAACAAATTACTCTAAAGTGTTGTGTTTTTCTTTAATGGGCTTAGAAAAAAGTTGCCCCTTTTTAGTACGGTATTCTATTCCTAAATTTATTATTCATTTTTCATGAAATGATCTGTTAATTTGCTTTTACTTACTGATGTATTTTTGGGCTTCAGAAATTGGACTCAAAGACTCATACAGTTAAAAGAGTCTTTATAATTTAGCACCACAAAAAGCGGTGGTAGATACAACCCAGATGTTTTTTTGCTTACGTCACAAATGTTATTTTCAGACAATAAAGTAGGCTTCCAATTAGTAACCATTTTAGGTTTTTTTTTTTTTTTTTTTAGCAAATACTTAAATTCCACCAACAAATTTGTTGAACTGGGACACAGCTGATGAGAAGGAAGATTTGAGTCTTATTTCTAAGCAGAACTGGAGGGGAATGCTAGCTCATTATGCTCACCTATATTTCCCTTGGTGTCACAACGGACTTTTTTCTTTGTTTCATGGCTTGGGCACCATTCCAATGGTTTGATAGCCAAGCACTCTTGATCTGTTTTCAAAAGACTGGAGATACAGTAGTTTGTGCTAAAAACTGGTAATTCATTTTATGAAGAATGTCCTAAGATTTGATGTGCATTAAATGTTATAGGGACAGATTTTTCAGGTGACTTCTTAATAACCTCAGTTATTGGGTACCTCAAGAAGCAATCCAATTTAGATGAAATATGAAGTGATAATTTGATCCATTTATGAAGAATTGAAATTGTGATGGGGATTTTAAATGAAGTATTGTAAGTGATGAAGTAAGATAAATAATTAATGTTATAATAAGAAATATAATATAATATATAATATATAATATAATAAGAAATAAGAGCCTTGGTGGCGCAGCAGATTAAAGTGCTGTTAAGTAACACCAGCTGCCTGCAATTACTGCAAGTTCGAATCTCACCAGGCTCAAGGTTGACTCAGCCTTCCATCCTTTCGAGGTAGGTAAAATGAGAACCCAGATTGTGGGGGCAATAAGCTGACTTTGTATAAAAAAGAACACTGTTTAGGGGGGGCCGAAAGCCTTACTAGGCAGGTATATACAAAAGTATGAAGGCTATTGCTTAACGCATTGTAAGCCGCCTGAGTCTCCAGAGAAGGGCGGCATATAAATCAAACCAATAAATAAATAAATAAATAAATAAATAAATAAATCAGGAATTAAGGATGGAAGTGATATTGTTTAAGTTAAAGGGTTTCAATATAAAAATTGAATAACATGAAGTATGTTGTTTATATAAATGGAGAAATAAGATAATTAATTGAAGCAATGTTATGAATTAGGATATGAAGGGCGGATGATAATATTGTTTATACACTGTATTAAGAAGAGATTAAGAGAAAATAAAAAAAGTAGGGAAAAATTAATATTATGGCAGAAATTGAAATATGTAAATTGTATTTGGAAAAACCAAAAAAGAAGATTGGAATGGATTATAATATATATATATATATATATATGTATGTATGTATGTATGTATGTATGTATGTATGTATATATGTTATAAGTTGTCTAAGATTTGACCCAGTCAGTACTCTGTTCATAAAATATGTATGTAAAAGGAAAATTTTTAATAAAACTTGTTTAAAAAGAAGAAGAAGAAGAAGAAGGAGAAGGAGAAGGAGAAGGAGAAGGAGAAGGAGAAGGAGAAGGAGAAGAAGAAGGAGAAGAAGAAGAAGAAGAAGAAGCTATCCAATTTATGAGCATCTGGCATCCATCTTTTCACAACGGAATATTTAATCTGAATATTTTGTAACATTGAATATAACTCTGAAACTTGAATAGGATTTTATGGTCTCTATGACTGCCCTTTCTTGTAAAAATGTGAACAGAGTTTCTCTCTCTCTTTTAATGCTGTAAAAATATGGATAATTGAGGTAGAAAATATTCCAATACCAATCAAACCATATTTTAATATAAAAGCTGCTCCTGAGTGCATTTGAATTTATTGTTTATTATATCAATAGTTTGGAGTCCAGCTATTATAAAAATCCAGATCCAAGTCCTGGACTTGCTACAAGAAATTCTTGCAAAAACAGATAATATTATCCACGCCCTCCCATTCAATTCCCACTGTGCGTTGACAGTGTTTCTTACCTTTATCAAATATTTCCTTCAGAACTCCTCTCTTGATAAGTTCCTCTCTGCTTTGCCTCATTGATATTTTTCTTTCAAGTGCTAACAAAAAGAAAAAAAAATACAAGTTGAAATAATAAACTCAAAAAATATTAGGAAAAACTGTTTTCATCCCTTGAAATATTTATATAATCCTGAAGACTTGAATAAACCCAAATTATGGAAATGCTTTTACATCTTCTATTTTTGCCAATATTTTCAACTTTACGAAAAGGTATCTGCCCTTATTGTCCTCCCATTAATTGATTTTACATCTGACTTTAATGTTAAGATTTCTGTTTGGTATGGTGATGAGCTGAATTTATGAATTTCCAAGGAGATCATCTAATCTTTTAATTGCTTGATTGCTTAATTAGTAAGCAGAAAACTTCTTTTGTTTTTCTTTGCCTAAATTACAGAGTTGTAGTGTCTTTCATTAGATTAATTATAGGTTTGAAATCAGGAAGACAGGGTTTGAAAACAGGAATCACTTCCTGCCCTTCAGAGGGATAGCAGCTTCTTCAGACTGTTGAAGAACAGCTGAAAGATTGAGCTGGTGATGAATTTATTCCACGGCTGAAATCCAGCAGGTTCTAACAGGTTCTGGAGAACCGGTAGCAGAAATTTTGAGTAATTTTGAGAACAGGCAAATACCATCTCTGGCTGGCTACAGAGTGGGGTGGGAATGGAGATTTTGCAATATCCTTCCCCTGCCATGCCCACCAAGCCACGTCCACAGAACCGGTAGGGAAAAATTTTGGATTTCACCCCTGATTTATTCCCAATTCAAAATGGAAAAAAAAAAACAACACAGAGAGAAAACTAACAACTTTAAAGGCTCTCTCTCATGGATTATGTTTTTTTTTTAGAACCACTGTCTTTACACATATTTATCTGTGAATTAAAACTTTTTGGAGTTAAAACGAATACTCGATGCTTTCAGTCAAAAAATATTGGAGTTGAATTTTTTAGTAATCGATTCAATTGAGACAAAAGTTGCTCAGCTTAGTTAGGAAAAAGACCTGGTAAATTATTAGGTTGTCAACTGAAACGGCAGTAACAATAACACAGTGATCTTATTTTTACTACCAAGAAAAGACGAATAATTCAGCACAAATAATGTTTCTATTTTAATAAACCAATTAATCATAATTTATTTCTATTTTTTAATTCTTAAATTTCCAGTACTGAGAAAATTGGCAGAAAGGAAATCATTAAGAAGAATTATTGATTTTAAAAAATAATATGGTTCTTCTGAACATAAATAGGAAACTGCTTGTGTCTATCTATTGAGGAAATAATAGGCTTTGGGATTGTTGTTGTTTTAATTAACTGGATTAAAATGTAGTATTTTAATCCTTCAACCAGCATTTTTTCATAATACCTTGATTTCTCTTCCAATCATCATTCTATTCTATTCCCATTCTATTTCTCAAGGAAGCTCTTGATTAACACATATAGTGAACCTGACCTTGGAATTTCTGCTCTGTTTTAATAAGGACACTCTAACAATAAAATTTTGGAGTTATTATATGCTAATGATATTTTACATATTATTGATCATTATGAATATTTTATGTCAAAATGTATTAATATTGTGTAATAACACCTATTAGATGTCATTCTTCCCAAATAGACCAAAAGGGAAAATGACCAATTTTTCCCTTCTGGTCTTTTTTATTGTAAAACTACATTAATGGACTTCTGCAAGTCTGAAAGTAGAAATCTCTCCTTTACAGCCTGAAAAGCTAGAGTGATGTGTGTTCCTTCTCAGCATCTCTCTCTCTATTATTCAGTTGCAGGCTATGCCTTCTATTATCTGACCATTCCATAGGCAGCATTTCTTTGACTTGTCTCTCAAGGTCTTGCTCACATACCATTACCCCAGGTTATTCAATTCAATATAGAATGTATGAAATATGTTCTATGACGTCTGGATACCCAGAGGAGTTATGGTGAACGTTTGAAGAAAACTCTGCAAAAGTGGAATCGATGACTGCGGCAAACAGCAAGGAACCGATGAGCAGATTGGTTCCATGGAATCTCTCAGGATAAAGAGAGGATGAACATCCCCCCCCCATACACACACGTGTTCTGGACCGTTGCTCCACATGAGCAGTCCTCAGGAGAGTCCTCATGAGTACCAAGAGATGACATGATTCAAACCTCACTTTCTAATCAAGCCATTGACTAATTAACTATTTCCAAGACATTAAAGACCTTCAGAATGACAACTTTGAAAATGCTGGATGTCTATCTTTAATCCTGAATGAAATAACATTTTAATTGTAAACGTAAGAATTTAAAGAATCTGAAATAAGTAGCAATCATGCAAAAAGCAACACAGTTATATTATCTAGCCCCTCTCATATCTTGGCAGAGATTAGGTTTCTTTTTCATTACAGCAACAATTCTACTATGATTCTAGTATTAAAACCATCAAGGTATATCTAAGAAGTCTTGGACAGAAATCAAAGGTTGATCATTATTCACATGGTAAACTTACATTTTGGGACAATCATAGTTTGAAACTTCCATGTAAATAGAGGAGTTAATTACTAATAGACAAGGCACTTACATACATGATGTGGCATTGTTTTGTTTGGCTTTCAAATCCATATATTTGTTAATATTGTTTGGGGACCAAATCATTAATATGACTTGAAGATGGGAATGTGATTTTGAATTATATATTTAAAAGTGGGATTTGTCATTATATGGAAAACTATTTATCAGGCACGAGCTAGAACAAGAATGGTATTTTTTTAACAGTGAAAAAGAGCACCTATGCAGACTTGAGCACTTTTCAAATGCTTTTCTGGCCTTACTAGAAGTTTCCTTCCTTGAGGGAACTGAATTTTAAAAAAGGATTTTTCAAATTGCCATCTTCGTGATTATGTAGTTATGTTTTGCATAATTTTTATTTCATAGGAAAAAGTCTATACAATAACTGTCATTTTTCCCTCAGGCATTAAATGTCAAATAAGGTCGCAGTTTAGTTGTTATTGTAGTATATACCTATTGCTGCCAGTTCACATCAAAGGATTTTTTTTAAAAAAAATAAATCTGTGACCTTTCAGGAAATTTGCAAATCTCTTTATTTCCTGTTCATTGCAAGAGATAATTACACATGCTGTTCAAAGATGTTTCTTAAGATGCCAGGCCTGCTGAATCTATCACTGAAGTATTGAGTCCCACTGAGAAACAGGTGCACAGCTTCTGTGATTCTGTCAGGCATCAATAGCTATTTTGATTTCTCGTTCTTTCATCAAGAAAACCAGCACCATACATGTCATCTAAATTGAGTGCGGGATAGTTGTTACTATCATAGTTGCAAGTTACATAGTGCCATGAATAACTCCTTTTAGCTCTCTTAAAATCTTTTACAATGTTATTGTCTCATTGTCCTCCCTAAAGTCTAACCAATCCCACCATGTTTCATTTCCTTGACCATTTTTTAATACTTCATATCAACATAGCTCTCCAGACTGATTCTGCTGATCTTCATATGATTTTGCTTCCTTCATTTGATTCTGCTAAATATTTACCCAAACAGAGCTTCTAAGCGAAACATCCGTGCCAATACTTTTCTACACAAATGTCCATAATTATATTGTGACCTCAGAGAAAGCCACTATTATTGTCTCTGGCATATATGGATTTCAAGAAAAATGAGTGATAAGTGAGGTATATTCTTCCTTCTAGAATATACCTCAGTTAAGCTGCCACAGTTTCTGGGAAGAGTATATATCCATTAGTAGGCACTAATCCTTCACCTGCAGTATAGATCTAATTAGATGCAAAGCCAGTGGTTGTATCTGATCAGAAGCCCAGATATAGTGGCTGAGAAAGCTATGTTTCCTTACCAAAAAATAGCTTAATCACTACATCAACACTTTTAAGAATCCATGTGCACACATCAGAAAATATGAGCAGTTTCAATTCTATGATGTAATATTTTCCCTATCAACATCAAAATGTTTTAGAGCAATGAGCCAATATGCAGAACAACTTATTCACTGACTGGCCAGCTACAAGTTTGTTTGGCAAGTTTGTTGAATCTGTGTTAATGAAAAAATGATCTGCATTTTAGCAAAGGTGGGAAACTTCATTGCTTGGTAAGAGTTTTCTACATTTACCATTTGGTAAGAGGGCTGGTACATTAATTTGTGGCAGAAGGCTATCTTGAAAACATAAACAAACCTGACTTTATGTGTTATTTGAGCAACTTCAGATTTCCTTCTAATAAGGACTGGTCTTTCTGCAGAGGAACCCAAGCTACCATAAAGTTCCCTCCCCCACTGAAATCTCTCCTCCTCCTCCTCCTCCTCCTCTTCAAGCCAGTGTTGATTCTTGATGACTGCATGGACCAGTCCCTGCAGTTTCCTTGGCATGAAGTGGTTTTCTGAAGTGGTTTGCCATTGCCTCCTTCGTAGGGCTGAGAGAGAGTGACTGGTCCACTCTCTGGCCTAGGTGCGATGAGAACTCCAATATCCCAGTTTGTAGTCCAGTACTTTAACCAACATCTAGTTTTCTCATGTAAATTCTTACTCCTACCAAAAAAGCTCCTGCTGTTAGCAAGGAACTTTTTTTTAATTCTTATTTTCAGTAGAAGGGGATTTACAGACTAAAAACTACTTTGTATTTACTTTTGATTTAAAGAATGTCCTGATGTTTAATATCAAATAAAAGGAGACTAATCATGGAGAAAATATTTTCCCACCTTAAGAATTAACTTAATAAAGTGTTTTTTCTCTAATGTACTTCTTCAGGTATTATTTTCAGATAGTCTTACAAATCAACTATATAGTAAGTCTCAATGCCAGTTGGCAGTTTTTAGCAACTATCTTTGCATTTAAATATAAGGCCTTGATTGATATGTGCTTGGTTATTTTCCCCCTACCCAGTCTCTTCTATATTTTATGTTATGATGTTATATTATGTTTTAATTATTATAGCCATTGAATATATGGGAACCTATAGATTAATGTAATTGTCAAAGAAAAATGAGATAAATACATTTTTGTCGCAAGGTTCAGAACAATGGTTCAATGAACTCTGGG